AACTGGATGAAGACGTTGTTTATCCAAGACTCTGGGCGCGAGAAGATAAAGCATGCCTAATGGACTGGGGGTCCCGCAGCAGACAGCTCTCTTAAAGGGTCTCCATCGTCATCATAAAGGAGCCACGACCACCACTGAGCTCACAGCCTGCCGGGCACCCTTGCCCCGGCCCTCCCTGCACAGATAGGGAAGCGGGGTTCAGAGTGGGGAAGTCACTTGCTCCAAGTCACACAGCTGATGGAGGAGGGGGGTTCAACCAGGCTTCTCCCACACCCCAGCCCTCGCTCTTGGGATGAAGACTAGGTCCCAAGACTAGGGTGCTGCCCTTCAGGGCCCAGAGCAAAGCCGTTTAAGCTGAGTGTCACACTGTGATGGAAACCAGTGAGGGACCCGAGGTTGGGGTGGGCAGAATTCTAGACGCGGAGATCATTAAGACATCCTAAAATCCTCTAAATACCAAGTCATCTAGGCCTTTGGGGCGGTGGGTGGCCGTGGCAAATGAATCAGGCGTGGTTTGTCAGGAGGGACCTCCCCACATGGGCTCTAACTGTCTCTCTGGGTTGGATGGGACTTCGAAGGGAGCCCCAGGTGGGAGGAGCGCCTTCCCTGGCCTCAACTGAGGCTGATCCCCGAGGGGCGGGGCGGGGCGGGGCCTGAGAGGCGGGGCGTGGTCCTGAGGGGCGGGGCGAGGGCCCTGAGGCATGGGGCGTGGTCCCGGTGGGCGGGGCGAGGGCGGGGCCAAGTAGAGTCCGCTGTCAAAGGGCGAAGGGAGGCGCCTGGGTTCCCACGCGCCGGGTTCCACTGTGGGCACAGCCTCACCCTCTGAGCCCGTGCAGTGGCCAAGGGCAGGCCCTTCTCTAAAGGTCCCAAGGGCCATGGATCGCAGCCTGGGGCCCTCGTGGTCGCGGCCATCACCTCCAACTCTGCCCTTGAAACAGATGCTCAGTCCCTCCGTGAGGAAGCGCAGCTGGTCCCCATGGAACCTGATTTGCAGCGCGGCCGGTGGAGTGGCTGCCGGTTCAGCTCCAGCTCTGCCCTTCCGGCGCTGCTGGCGCTGGGCACAGCTGCGCTCTCCTTTCGTGAGGCTTCCTTAGAGGGAGGCAGAGAGGGGGGAAGTGAGGCTTAAGAGGCACCGAAAGAAACAGGGCGGGATGCCCCCCCCCCCAAGGCCAGCCTCTGTCGTCATTGGTTACATTTGGAGAAAAAGTGAGCCTGACACCGTGATGACATCAGTGTCGCCCTGGGGAAGAGGCTGAGGTCACTCGTGTGAGCTCCATTAGGCCGTGCGTGGGTCTTTGATGATTTTGTTCTTCATCCCGCGCTGGTAAACTTTATATATGTGCCAGTCCACAGGTGTAGCTTGCTGATTTTTGAAGATATTGCAGTAAAACATCATTTATGTAGATTACTAAACTTTTTGGCACACACTGCCAACCCTTCAATGTTGTGCCCAGAGTGAGAGCTTCATTCGTCTCACAGTCTGGCCAACACTTACAGCAATTCCTGGCACCTAGTAGACATTCAATTAATGATGCTGGATGCATGGAAGTGCCACACCTGTGCTGACACGTGGGTCTTCAATGAATGGAGCCCCCCACAGGGTTTGTGAGCCCAAGCTCAGGAGTCATAGGTTCTCGGGGCACCACCATCCTTCACAAAGGCAGCTGCTTCTATATTCTGGCCCAACTACTTACTGTGTGACTTTGTAAAGTTTCTTAGCTTCTCTGTGCCTCACTTCTTTATATGTGATACTAGGCTAATGACAGTATCCACCTGATAAGGGGATGTGAGGATTTTAAATGACTTGATGACCAGCCACAGTGACTAGAGGACCAGCCACAGTGTCTCCTGCAAGACCTGGGAAGTGCATGCAGCTGGACACAGGGGCACAGAGGCAGAGCAGGGGGGCAGGGGCTCCCCAGCCACACGGCCTGCTTCCACCCATGGCTCTGGAACTTGGCAGCCCTGTGAGCCTTGACGAGGTGACTTCGCCTCCACGGCCTCTTGGACTCTTCTTTCACCAGGAGACTCGAGCCCCCTGGCAGAGCATGAGAGAGCAGCGTGGCCTGCCGGAGGCAAAGCCCACCGCGGTGTCTGTGTACAGCACGGGTCCAGAGGTGGTGGGATCTGGAAAGTCAGGGGTTGGAGGTGGGCCTGAAGATGAGCTCCCCTCCCACCCTCTGCTCAGCCTTCCTCTTCCTGACCATCCACGTTCTCCCCCAACTCTGGGATCTGTCTTAGTTGGGTATATGTGGTTCTTAGGTTGTCAGCTCAGGTTGCAGTAGCACAGCACTGTATTATTGAACAGTAACTATAGGAAAACCACCTGGTGGGGAATTCCAATTTTTCTTCTACTTTTGAAAAAAAAAAAAACTCATCTGCATCCCCCTTCATTTCCTGACTAAATGGATTGATGTGGAAATGCCCCCAACATTCAAAACACTGATTTCATTTGTGAGAGTAGAAACTCCAAGTTCACCTAATTCCACCCTGTGATCTAACACGACAAACCAGAAGATCTGGAGGGAAAGTGGCTTGCAAACGGGGCCCCCAATGGAACCTCGGAACACACAAACTCCTGCTTCTCCCAGGAGTGGTACATAACTTGCCAACCCTTAAATTCTGACCACTGTAGATGGACAGGAGAGATACACAGGACACCTTGGGACACTGGGACTTTGTGTTCTCCCTGAACTAGTTGAGAAGGGTGGACTAACGGGACCAGAACCATGGCTGGCCCAGATACCTTACCCTCCCTGAAAACATTTCACAGCGGGCACGAGACACAGCATGGAAGGAAGAAATTGTCTCATTCCTGAGCCAAGGGTTTTGCAAAATTCAAAGATCCTACATGCATAAGTGGCTTATTCTGCTTGTTTGGAAGAAGGTCCTCCCACCACCAAAAAGAAAAAAGAACAATATCCCAGATGCAAGCAAAATGGCTCTAAAACCCAGGTCCTGCCTTTATTCTGTATGTGAGAAGGAAGGAAGGGGTGGAGGGAGGGGAGGAGAGAGAGAGAGAGAGAG